ACCATGAATTGACCAGTCTGGCGAGGGTACCAGCTCTATGTAGAAGAGTAGTGAGAGGTGAGACTAACAAGGTACAGATTGTGGAGGGCCTTCCTGAAAGTCAGGCTAAGGCGTTTAGGGAAGGGGAAGCTATAGTCTTTGGGCAAGAGAATGACGCGAAGAAAACAGAGCTTTGGGAATAATAACTCAGGGATCAAGTGTTTTAAAGTCTTCAAAGTCACTTGGTGATCTCATTCACTCCGTGGCTTTGATGACCATCTCTATGCCAATGACTTCCAGATCTCTGTGTCTAGTGCTCGACTCTCTCAGGGACTCGGGGCCCACATCATAAACTGCCTGTGGATGGACCAGCCCGTGGACATCTCAGCATGTTCTAACATGTTCAGAACAACTCATTGTCTCTGCTCTCAAACACTTCCCTTCTGTTACTCTTTTTTTTTTTTTGGCTAGGCAATGGGGTTAAGTGACTCGCCCAAGGTCGCACAGCTAGTAAGCGTTATATGTCTGAGGCCGGATTTGAACTCAGGTCCTCCTGACTGTAGGGCCGGTGCTCCATACACTGCCCCCCCACCCATTACTCTTGAGGACACTACAATCCTTCCAGTTCTCTAGGCTCCCAACTTCAGTGTCATCCTTGGTTCTTTGCTCTCACTCATCCTACACAGCAAGTCAGTTGCCATGTCTTATCTTTTCTGTCTCCACAACACCTCTCACGTAGTCCCCTCCCCCCTCCAACCTCATCGCCTATCATCTGGACTATTGCAGTTGCCTCCTATCTGATCTTCCTACCTCAAGCCTTTCCCCACCTTAGTCCATCTTCCACATAGCTATCAAAGTGCAGTCTTGCAAACTTGTAAACTTTTTTGTTGCTGAGTCGTTTCAGTAGTGTTTGACTTTGTGACCTCATTTGGGGTTTTCTTGGCAAAGATACTGGAGTTATTTGTCATTTCCTTCTCCAGCTTATTTTACAGATAAGGAAACTGAGGCAAACAGGGTGAAGTGACTTGCCCAGGGTCACACAGCAAGGAAGTGTCTGAGGCCAGATTTGAACTCAGGAAGAGTCCCAGTACTCTATGCACTATGGTGCCACCTAGCTGCCTGTAGGATCAAATATAAAGTCCTTTGGTATTCATATCTTTGCTCCACCTGATCCGTCTTACACATTGTGGCCTCCTGCACACTGCAATGATCCTTTTCCTGTTCCACACACACAGGACACTGCATTTCTTGTTTCCATACCTTTGCGTGGTTGTCCCTTCCCTTGAATGCACCCCCTTCTCCAGGGAACATCCCTCATCCTCCCCCACAAGTAGCACCCTCCTTCCCCAAACTGCCGTGTCTTCATTTTGTGTCTCCTCTACATACTTAGAGATGCACATGTTGTCTTTCCCTTTAGGGCGCAGGCTGTTCCCCTTTGCCTCTGTACCCCTAGCACTTGGCACAAGGCCTGGCCTCAGGGAAGGCATATCTGAAGTACTTAATGATTGATTGTAGTTTCATCACAACCGTCTGGTGAGTTAGAGAACACAAGTGTTATCCTCATTTTACAAATGAGGAAACTGAGACTTACAGGGAGAAGTGACTTCTAAGATCCCACAGCTAAGTGGGGCCAGAATTGGAATCCATGTCACCCAGTGTTGAATGTGATATTGGAGAGGGGAGATAAGCTAAGAGACTCTTTTTTTTTTTTTTCAGGCAATTGGGGTTAAGTGACTTGCCCAGGGTCACACAGCTAGTAAGTGTCATGTGTTTGGTCTGAGGCCAGATTTGAACTCAGGTCCTCCTGACTTCAGGGCCTGTGCTCTATCCACTGTGCCATCTAGCTGCCCCAAGAGACTCTTTTTTTAAAAAAATTAATTTATTTATTCAACATTCACTTCCATAAGCTTTTGAATTTTCAATTTCTCCCCTTCCCCCTCCCCAAGAAGACATGCAATCTGATATAGGCTTGACTTATATAGATTCATATTAAACATATTTTCACATTAGTCATGATTTAAGAAGAATTAGAACCAATGGGAGGAACCACTAGAAAGAAGAAACAAAACAAAACAACCACAAAAAAAGAGAGCAAATAGCATGCTTCCATCTGCATTCAGACTCCAGG